TGTATACAATGTCATCTGTGAATTAACAAGACGTGAACAAGATGAAACACTCAAGTATCCATCTACAGAAAGTCGACGTGGAACGGACCAATTACTTACTTTCATAGCCTTGTGCCTCTAAAGATAAAGTGAAACCTGATCCATTCATTGGGCCACAGAATCTTTAGGGCAGCATTTGCAGCCCTGATACCTACTATAGGAGGTGAGTTAAACACCCTAAAGAGAATCTTCCCAAGAAACGGCTAACCAGAACGTTTCATCACAAAATCTATGAAACCTTAACCACTAAAAGCGCCTACACTCTCTGCTATCAAAAAACATCTTTACCTGAATCTAAAAATCAATGGAGACTCATGAGCAGAAATAGTGGAAAACCACCTGTCCCGTTTACTCAAGAAAACCTGCTTTGCAGTTGAACTCCGACTAACCTTCTCTACGAAACCAATGAATGTGAAGGATAAGCTACCACTGTTGGCCAGCCTTATCAGTGTGCATCTACCAATTCACTTGTTCGTGTGGAGCTAGCTAGGCATGTTGGCCGTACCCAGCGTTTGCTATCCAAACGTATCAGTGAACACTTACCCTCATGGTTTCATAAAGGAGTAAAAACGGATCCCCACGAAGCTGTATTCTGGAACAATGCTCTATTGGAATCTGGACATTGAGCTAACCCAAAAAGTAACTTCCAAGTTATCTACAGAATATGTAGGAGTCTCGATAAAAGAATCCGAATCAAACTCCTTCTAACCACAGAGGCAATAAAAATTCACATATGAAAACCTGAATTCTGCATACAAAAGAAATTTATTCGGTCATTAAATCTACAACGGACCTGACTTATCTTAACACGAAATACAGCTCATGATGAAGTCATACATGTTATCAAACAAAACCCCTACAAAATACAAATACTTGAAAATTCATCTGATGCTCACTAGTGACTGGCCCTATTCAGGCAGTTAACCTGGGGTTCTAGTGGGAAGCCGTGACCAGTAGGATACAGCAGGTAGAAGATGAGGCAGTAACTCATCGAAGAAGACAATGCGAAATGGTTGCGCTATATTGTGAATTGGCAGAAGTTAGAATTTATGAGCTGCTCATTGGATCGGGTGGCAATGGCTGATGAATGGTCTGTGAACTAGCTCGCTAGCCTTGTAACCAGAAGGCCCTAAGTTCGGACCTTGGCGGTGGGTGGGTACTGATGAAGAGTTCCAAACTAGCGCGAAACAGCTGTCCAGTACTTCCAGGTTTTCCAGTGGTTCCCTAACTGATGTCAGCTCATGATGAAATCAACCATGCAATCAAATAAAATCCCTACAACAACAATACTTGAAAATGCATAACTGTTGTTTCGTCTTTTTCTAGCTTGTTTGTTTCTTAATTGTATACTATTTTCCGCCTACCTCCTGTTAAGTCTCCATCCCCTATTACCACTTTTGTTAGCTTGACTTTTGTTCAATTTACATTTCAGCTGAGCTCTACTCAACGCCATCAATTAGATTGCATCACTTTAGTTTCTAACCAATTAACGAAATTTGCTACCTATAACTTTCAATTCTAATAATTTTCTTTTCTTTTCTACGCTTTCTACATTACATAATCTGCTGACTGAAATTTAAAACTTCTGCTGACAAATCTTTGGAAATATGTGCATATATCAGTTCACCTGTTGCTCTGGAGCCAAGCACATCGGTCGTTCGACTAGCAGCCTGTTCAAGAGGATTCAGGAACACTATCTAGCCAGAATGGTTGTGAAAAGGCAATAGCGGTGCAATAAGGAGTGCGATAATTGAACACCTGGTTAACACTGACCATTCCATTTCAACAAACACCTCCTGCTTCAAAGTAATCTACAGAGTCAAGAATAACCTATCAAAGGCGATACGGTTTCATCTTCTTTGTATCGCTGAAGCTCTGGCCATTCACATGAGAAAACCGGAGCTGTGCATACAAAAGAAGATTACTCAACCACTTCTACTGTCATGGTAGCAACTTTTTTTCGTTTTGATTTGATTTGGGTTTTTTTTATTTTGATGACTAAATTTTGTTTCTCTGCCTGTTCTTCAATTGCTTATAATTCTTGGATTCATTCAGAGCTCCTACGTAATTTCGTATTATCTACTTCGTTTCTATGTGCATCCTGAGTAAAACTCACTCATCAAATGATTTCAGCACCTGTCTGTGACAACTCATCACCTTTGCTACTACCCTAATTTCACTAACACCTAATTTCCTTGACTTAAAGGAGTCGGTGGCACAGCGGTTAGGACGCTCGCCGACCATGCTCATGGTCCGGGGTTCGATTCCCGGCCGACGCACTCCTTTACCTCGCTAAACTCATAATGAGACTGCTAAAGAGGAAAGGTTGGACATGAGGCTAGCAACCCCATCCTATAAAAATAAACACTGCTACAGAAACTTCAAGCCACTGGCTTGAAGCCCTATGTTCCACTGGGGAACGTGAAGGAAAAATTATATTATTTTATTTCCTTGACTGACTTTGTATTATCAATCTTCACCTGTTTAGTTAAAATAACCATAACCGATTGTAATTTTGTTTGACAAACTTAATGTACACATACATACAAAATAACACATATATATATTTGCGATTGTACAGCTAAGCGTGAATGAATTCGCCGCCGGCGAAAAGAGACTATTCGCGGATCTACGTGTTTTCTTTTCTTTGGAAATATTCATTTTGTTCCTAAGAAAATTAAATCTCTCTCTCACTCTCTCTCTCTCTCTCTGTATATATATACGCGATTGTACAGCCTGAGATTGATATCGCCGAAAAGATGAGCAACCCTTCGCCGAACATCTTTTATTTATTTTTACAAATTCGACCACGGATTGATCTCAGGTAGAGAACCACTGAAAACCAGCCAGGAGTACTGGACAGCCAGCAGATTTATCGTAGTTTGGGAATCATTGGTAGTACGTGCCCACTGAGGCTCAAACGAATTGGTAGAAGTTATAAATCATGGAGTGGGGGCGAAGTTAAAGCTTAAGCACCACTAAGTAACTACCAATGGGGTGCAACCATACCAGTGACCTTGAAAATGCTCGCTGAGCAAGTTAATGAAATTTGGCAAATCATGCTGTCATCATCAATAAAATATGCTCATCGAAGTATCACGTTATTAAATAAGATATCTGGCAAGTTTCAGCTTAGGTTTGCGAGAGATAAAGTTACGCTTTAAGTCAAGGACAGGTTAGGCTTCGGTTAATCTAATAAAGGCGACATTAGGGTTGGTTCGAGTTAGATTACAGTTAGTTTAAGCATATTTTCACGATAGAGTTAGGTTCATGAAAGATTAGGGTCATTGTTAGGGTTAGAAGACCTAAATAAATAACTACATGCATAGAATATGGTTAAATTTCCCTATTGATGTAAGAAAAGAACTTGTGCACTGTGGTAGAGTATAATTCCATTGTTAGGTAAAATTTATTTTGATAAAGTCTCAGGGTGTTATACAATAATATTTATTGATGACGTTTTGAGCACCGTTTATTACTCAGTAGATATTACTGCATAACATTATGAGGCTCTATCAAAACAAATTTTACCCACAATGGAATTATACTCTGTTCATACTGCAGCCTAAAACGGAGAGCTACTTTTATGAGTTGTGACAGAAAGGTATCCTCTGTAACACTTTTATACAGCTTTTATGTATTTCTTTTTTTTTCACAAATACATGTATTCGATATACAAAAATGCCTCCTTCGTGTGATTGGTGCGTTCAAGGTCATTCATTGATTGGTAGTTAGTGGTGCTTAAAGTTTAACTTTGCCAGAGTGAGTATTACATCAGGTCGGGTCCTAATGGCTGACTGGTATACAAGATTGCCTTGTAAGCGGAAGGTCATGGGAGTGGGTGCTTACTGCCAATGATTCCCAAGACACTAGGATGATGAAACAACTGGCTGTCCAATACTCCACTGCTGGTTTTTAATTGGTTCTCTAACTGATATAATCAATTCGTGGACAAATCTAATCTTTTCTTTTTGATCTATGAATGTTAGAATGACTCAGCATTAAAGAATACAAGGAACTAAGTAGATTACCAAATTCATGTATATTTCAAAATCTTAGAATGAATCAACTTCAAACATACACACACTCACGCAAAGATACACACGAATACAAACTTTCAGTATTGATTATTACAGGTGAAGAGAAGAATTAGGTATTGAACACATATATATAATTCATACAGGCATAACGAAAAACAAGTTACTTATTCAATATTTATAAACGAAACAGATTTCAACAGAGAGATATTGACAGAAAAGTCAACAAGTTATTTTGACTATTGATATGTGCAACCACAGGAAGAAGGATATGATGATGATGATGATGATGATGATGGGGAGGAGGATGAGGGTGATTACCCCGAAATGAAGCTCGAAAAAGAGAACCAATTAATTAATTAGCTCAGTAATTTTCAACAAACTGAATCATTCTGTTGGATATGAAGCCTCTTTCAAAAAATTAGACGATATGGACTATTGTTAATCATTGCTGTTGCAAGAACATTCATACACACACACACACACGCATGCTAAAACACATACAGAGAAGTAGTACAGGTATCGCTGATGGTGAAGATAACCGTGAGAGGCGATTAAAACTCTCATGATCATTATGAAGAGACCTCGGCCACGTTTACTTCTTTATTACTAGAGCCACTACTGTCAGCGTTCTGGGATGATAACTACACTCTGAAGAATTTCACAGAAAGTTTTATTTATTTATCTATCATATTGCTGTTAATTGTTTGAATGAAGAAAATATACATACTGAAGTGAACATGTGTGTGTGTGTGTGTGTGCAAATGTGTGTAGGAATAGAGAAGAGAAGGGATTGGTTTCATCAGTATGTTTTAAATGTGTTTTTTGTTTTAAGCTTTTTTTATTTATTTCAGAGTTTATTCTGAGTTTTTAATCAATTTTTATTTGAAATGTTCCTTTTTTTCTCGCTTTCTTTCAACTCGTTTAAACAAAATCAATACAAACTGTGAGTAAGGCGAACATAACGATCAGTAACTGAAAGAGAAGAATATAGACAAAGTGAAAATATGCCCCAGTTAGAATGAATTTATACAATCGCTTTTTAATATTCAATTAGTTTTAATAACAAAATGACAGTTTAATTGAATTTTTGATTTTCTCGTCGATTGGTTGTACCGAATTGTTCGGTATCTGGTTGACATGTCGGCTTCTTGAGCACTGGTTTCGAGCCTCGGTGAAAACATCATCACTCACTGGGAAATGCAGGTACATCCAACTTGCAGACGAGTCCCAAATAGGACGAAATGCGCTTTATCCTGGATTCCACTCCTAGTCACCATTCATCAGTTAAATACTAATTAAATGCCAAGACATCCTCGAAGCATCTGCACAAGAAGCCGACATGTCAACCTGAGACCGAGCACTTCGGTCCAATCAATCGACGGGAAAATCTCAAATTCAATTAAATTAATATGACCCGTTGCACAAGAGGTGGCTCTCGTGGCCCAAGTGGTCTAGTAGATAACGCTTTGGCGTTTGAAACTATTGGCACTGGGTTCCAGCCTCGATGGAGGCATCATCACTCGTTGCGGAGTGCAGTACATCCAGTAAGCTGACGAGCCCCAAATAGGACGAAATGCGCTTTATCCTGGATTCCACTGCTAGTCACCATTCACCAGTGGCTGAAAAATCGGGGATGACTGGACAGGTTGGAAAACACGTGCCTAACGATCTCTGATTTGGTGACTAGACAGTGATTTAATTACTGTCAATCCTAGTGGTCAGCTCAGTGGTGCAGTGGTATAATGTTAGCTAATCACACAAGCTTAGTTTAGGGTTCGATTCCCAGAAACAACGCATAGTCCTAAATCTCTCCTAGCAGGTAGTGATCCTAGGAAAGAGGGAAGGTTGAGCCTGAGACTAGCCTCCCTACCCTATAGGAATTTACGAACTACCACTGCTAAAGAAATTTGAAAGCTTAAAAACCTTGTGTCCCACTCAAAACTCAAGCCTGTCGGTTGTACGATTAATAATCAAACTAATATGGAATTACTTACTACCACAGTGCCCAAGTTTTACACATATATTAGCCATGGTATTGCTTTTTAGCGAGGTGGGGTTGCTAGCTTCTCCCTGACCTTCCCAGTTCATTTGGCTTACCACTGTTTAAGTGAGGTTTCAGAGTTCGTCAGATGGAAACTGAACCATCGACCACATATCTGGTTGCCCACAATCCTGTTACTGACCCACTGGAACAATACTTCCTTCATATAAGTGATTAGAATTGATTAGGCTATCCCATTGTAATCAGTCTGGGTACATCACTGATAAGCTCGGTCCTAAATAAGCGTAGACAACTTTGATGTAGCTAGTGAACCATCGCGGCTGATTTGATGTTTCAATATATTACTTTTCTTGACAGTCTTGACACTACTGTGTTCACTACTCGTGTCCGAGGTCACTGATAGCACACTTCCAATCTTGAAGTTCCCTGTCTGTGACCTTTTTCCTGATAAAAAACATGGAATTAAAACTGTTCAAGTCGTTATGTTTTAGAGATTGTCAAAGTCAGAAAATTCCTCGCATCAAAGTATCTATCACAGTGATTTGATGACATTAGATGGTTGGAGGCAATCGACACGAAGCCTCACCTGACCTAGGTTTTGTCCTGGTTGGCTCTTACGACTAAGCAAGGCGTGCCTGCCACCTTGAAGGAACTCATGTCCCTCCTGAGATTCGAACCAGGGTCACCCACTACCACTTGCAGTCAGAAACGTTACTACTGGGGCTCACGACTGACCTCCTGTAGGACTTTATGGGATATTTTGATTGGACACTATTAACTAGTGGTAGAATTCAATGTGCACCAAACAAAAGAGGGGGTTGATCACAAGCTCAAATAGCTCAGTGGTAACATTTCTAAATACAATAATGGCTGACTCAGGTTGGAATCTCACAGAAGATATAGGTTCTTTCAAGGCGACAAACAGACGCCTTGCTGACTGTCAAATGCCAGCAAGCCCTAAGTCACTTGGGGCTTCCTGATTATCGCATTCTAAGCAGCTAAGAATCAAAAAACGTGATTTTTATTATAAAGAACTATTACTTCTGTATGTAGTATATATATATATATAATGTTTTGTTTTCGTTATCTTTACTTACCAGTAATATGAATACAGCGATCAAACCAAAGGCCACAAAGTCCATATACTTCAGGAAAAAGGTTTGTAATGGTTCTTTACAGCCAACATTATAATTACTGTTTTCTGCATTAAATTCCCTTGGGCATGTTGTCGAAGTGATCACGTACTTATCATTCATTTTACAACATACGACAGGATATGCCAAATCTGTAAAATTTAGATAAAGGTTCAAAAATAAACCAAAAAATGTTGTTCAATTTCAATCTTTGAAATTGTTACATGAAAAATAAATTCACATTTTCCAGGTGTTGGTTAGCAGGGAATTCATCTGATTGGTCACAGGATTTCATCATCAGTTAAAATCGGTTAGACAACCATTGGAAGACTAGTTTTGGACTCTTTATTAGTACGCACCCCGTGGAGTTGGAACCCAGGACCTTCTACGGTTACAAGGCTAGTCATCTCATAAACCACTAAGCCACTAGGACCCAATCCAATGGCCAGACCATGAATTTCAATTCTTGTCAATTGAATTCACGATATGGCAGTTTTTTTGTACTTATCAAATATGTCACTTATTCACTGCGCCTAAAAAGAAACTCTGCATGAACTTGGATTTCAAGGGAGATTTACCAAGCGGTATTCTCAAGAGAAGGATCACATCATCTCTGAGATGAACATTCTTTGCAGCAACGCTAAGAATAGTGTTCTCCAGTCGTCCACTGACAAGGAAAAGATCCCGCATCTGACCACTTCTGTGTACATATATCAGTTCACCTGTTGCTCTGGAGCCAGGTACATCGGTCGTTCGACTCTCACTCTATCCAACAGGATTCAAGAACACTATCCAGCCAGGATGGTTGTGAAAAGGCAAAAGTGGTGCAATAAGGAGTGAGATAATTGAACACCTGGTTAACACTGATCATTCCATTTCAACAAACACCTCCTGCTTCAAAGTAATCTGCAGAGTCAAGAATTACCTATCAAAGGCAATATAGTTTCATATTCTTTGTATCGCTGAAGCTCTGGCCATTCATATAGAAAAACCGGAGCTGTGCATACAAAAGAAGATTACTCCACCACTTCTACTGTCATGGTAACAAGGTTTTCTCGTTTTGATTTGATTTGAGTTTTTTTTCATTTTGATGACTCACTTTTGTTTCTCTGCCTGTTCTTGTATTCAATCAGAACTCTTGCATAATTTCGTTTTATCTACTTTGTTTCTATGTACATTCTGAGTAAAACGCACTCATCAAATAATTTCAGCACCTGTCTGTGACAACTCATCACCCTTGTTACTACCCTAATTTCATTACCACCTAATTTTCTTGACTGACTTTGTATTATCAATCTTCACCTGTTTAGTTAAAATAACCATAACCGATTGTAATTTTGTTTGACAAACTTAATGTACAGATACATACAAAATAACAGATGTATATTTGCGATTGTACAGCTAAGAAAATGAATTCGCCGCCGTCGAAAAGAGACTCTTCGCTGATCTACGTGTTGTATTTTCACTCCGGGAAGACATGTAATCCATAGGGCTACTGTGCACTAGCTTAGAAAATAAGATCACTTTATTATTAAGTATTGCTGATGGAATGTCAGCCTGTACATAGATTGGTCTTCAGACAGTTAACAAATACACAGGAATTCAACAGCACATCTCCGTTTCATCGTGTTTCTAGCAGTCATCTTTAACTAGCTCCACAATTTCTTATAGGCTCATTTCTCCGTGACCTCAGAAGATCTCCTTCATGCCACCAATGGGGTTATTTCCACCTAGTCGTTACACGCATTCGTGTTCCATTTAAGAGACTGACTGGTGAATGAATGATGTCAATTAATTGTCCCCTCAGCGTGTGTCCCCGATCTATCTCCATTTTATTCGCCATATTAGTTTGACGATAAGCTTTTTGTTGATTTCCTGTCTAACTGACAAAGTTGATTGGCTTTTTCAGATAGTGCGTACAATCTTTTGTATGGAGAAAAAGGCAGTTAGCTGATGATAAGAGCCGAACAGGTCAAATTTCTGAACCACATAGAAGTAGGTATTTGACAGGTATAATCACTCCTTCTTGTTAAGATCTTTATTTTTTTTATTTCATTTGTCCCATTTGCTTTTATTATAATTATTATCTCTTTTAGTTCCTAGAGGAACATAGGGCTTCAGCCGCATTCGGTTCTCTGCCAACGTTTTCAGCTGCCTCCACGTCTGTCCACATGCTTTCACCTCCTCTTCACGTCAACTCCTCCTCCTCCTCCTCCATGTCACTCTCACACTGATGACCAACTTCCCAATTCCTATTCGGGTTACACTCCACAGACAGAGAGAGCCTGGAGTGTGATGTCGATCACTTGATAGCTTGTTTTCTGAGATTATGGCCAATCCACCTACCTTCATTTCTTCCTGCATATTTGCTTTGCACAATTGGTTCCTACTGGGTTTGTTGGTTCATTCATTGCCAGAGATCCCTCCCTGTTGCTGATCTGTTGTGGTCAACCATCTGATCTTGAGTAGTATTGAGTGAAAACAGCTGTTAGTGCAATTCCACAGTTAGTTCGAAGTGGGCTTCGTGGCGCGGCGTGGTGCAGCGCCAAGTCTCTGATCCGTATAGTCAGTAGCATTGACTTCACATTGAAGTTGAGAATCAGGATCATATTCTTCATGCTGAGTGCTGAGTGTTGAACTCCACACAGATGTAAGGGTTATGAAAGCCTGCCTTGCTTTACGGATCCTCCAAGCTTTGATATCCTCATCAGTTCCGTTCGCCTGTAGTTGAAATGGTGTCTCCCAGGTCGGTCGGTAGGTAAACGAGATTGCTTCTTTCAGATTCTTCACATTTGTGCTGATTGTTGTCTGCTGTCGTGGTTTATGTCGTTGTTGGCCAGGAATCTTCATCACCTCTGTCTTCTCTATGTTCACCTAAAGTCCTATCTTCTCTGGATGCTTCTTCTGCCAGCTTTTTGTTTCTCACTTGTATATCTTCCAGTTTGTGGAGAATCAGATATATATTATCGTTAAAATCCAGATCCTCCAAGCTTTTGATTGGGTCGATTTTATGCATGTCTCCTTGTTGCCCTCCGCTGTCTATCGCACTATTCAATCTGCAGCAGCCAGGAAAATTAATGGAGATAGTAGGTAATTAGCCTTCCTTGTCGTCTTCACTTCGAAGGACCGCGTGAGTTTCCTGTTGTGGATTACTTGGGATGCAGCATTATCGTACTACTTTTGGATGACGTAATAAGTGTGAAATTATGACTTGTCAGTAGAATTGTGTAGAATGGACAGAAACTAGTAGAAAGATGATAAAGTGTACGGCGTAGGCAACTCCAATTCCACAAACATATTCTGAAACACTGTCCAGCTTGGTTAGCCAGCCGGAGGAGAAAAGAAGAATAGTAGCAGCTCCATTGTCGAACATCGAACAGCCTCAGCTTGAATTAATGCATCACAGTGCTCCACAAAGTCCCTCAATATCGTACCTACGGACTTCGTATACGCCATCTGTACATAGCTGAATCCCTGGCTATTCTGGATGTTAAATCGGACCTCTGCATTCAAAAGCGCTTGATACATTCACTCACTTTACAATGAATAGAGTAACGTTCTTCATATAATTGTGCCTTTTGTATTATGCAGGTTTACTATTTGCAATTAATAGTGTTCTCTGAGCTTACTGGTTGGTTTAGTTGCGGAACTTTCGTCGTCCCCCTGCTGGACAACATCCCCTCTCGGCGCAATATTTAGCATAAAGTGAAATGATTTAAATTTCTTCACGAGTGATATGATTGCGTCTCCTGGTGACCAACCATCTTTACATGTGTACTGACCATTTTCTATTGACTTGGATTTTAAACTTTCTGGTCACCTGATTTACTTTTTATTAGTTGGTATATTTGGTCTATATTAACGTGTTTGTTAATTGCATTTTCGTTTGATTACCAGGCTTCTAGGAATTCCCTGACTGCACGTTTGGTGTTTCCTTTGTCTAGGATTTCGACATTATCCCAATCAAATTGATGCCCATTATTGTCTATATGCATTGATACTAAAGAACATACATCGTGTCTATTCACGGCTGATTTGTGTTCATCGATTCTGATTCGAAGCGGACGCCCACTTTTGCCGATGTATTGCCTGTTACAGTTCAGACAATTTATTTTGTAAATAGTATTGATTTTATCCTCTTTTTCTGTTGGATCTTTCGGTTTGCATAATATTGAATTAAGCGATTTCACTGGCTTGTTTGCTATTTCTGTATCAAAAGTTATTAATATTCTAGCCGTTATTTCAGAAATATTTTCCATGTATGGTAGGATGAATTTTCTTGTGGTCTTTGATGATGGTTCTTTGATGGTGTTGTGACTTGGTTTTAAACACTTATTGATGAAATTTTGTGGATAACCATTCTGGTTTATGAAGACCGTTGGTAGGTGTTTTTCTTCCATTCTTTTCACCTGTGGAGTGCTACAGTGTTGTGTTTGAACTCTTTTAAACAATGTCTGCACACAGTTTCCTTTGTGAGTGAGTAATTGGATTATTGCTAGTATAGTTTGATTGAGATAATGTCGAAATCTTGGACAGAGGAAACTTCACCAAAAGTGCAGTCAGGGAATTCCTAGAAGCCTGGTAATCAAACGAAAATGCAATTAACAAACACGTTAATATAGACCAAATATACCAACTAATAAAAAGTAAATCAGGTGACCAGAAAGTTTAAAATCCAAGTCAATAGAAAATGGTCAGTACACATGTAAAGATGGTAGGTCACCAGGAGACGCAATTATATCACTCACTCATGAAGAAATTGTAATCATTTCACTTTATGCTAAATATTGCGCCGAGAGGGGATGTTGTCCAGCAGGGGGACGACGAAAGTTCCGCAACTAAACCAACCAGTAAGCTCAGAGAACACTATTAATTGCAAGTCATCCACCTGAGCTACAAATCTTCTCTATTATTTCAAAGTTTACTATTATTGTAATTATTTCTATTTTATTAATACTACACTACTGTTTTTTTAATAAAGCTGCATTTTCATAAAGATTTCATAAAAACACTTTATCGCCTTTCCACTAGTTCTTGACCACTCTACACAACTAAATTGATTAGTCATTATCTCTTACACTTATCACGTCATTCCAATTTCTAACTTTTTTTCTCTGACTTCCAGCTAATCATCCCTTCAAGGTTACACCTAACATTAAGTAATGCGTTTTTCGAGGGCAAATTTTACCAGTATCTGATTGGTACGATTGAATGAATGAATCGTCGAAAAAAAAATTTCCCTCCTCCCGTTTGCGCCTTTTTCTTATGATTTTCAGACAATAACTTAAGATGATTGTCATTAATCAATTAATTCTGTTATAAATTACATATTTTGCCTTTGAGGAGTATATCTTTGGAGTGTCTATGGCTGTTGGATGGCAGTGATAAAGTATTTTCATATTTTTGTTAGTTATATATATATCCTCAGCGGACTATCGCTGAGGAGACCACTGGGTGACATCGCGCGCCAAGCCCTCGAGTGGAACCCGAAAGGGAAGCGGCGTGTGGGACGTCCAAGGGTGACATGGAGGAGATCGTGTGAAGAGGAGTTGAAAGAATATGGATTAACCTGGATGCAGGCGAAAAGTATAGCAGAAGACAGAAGAAAATGGAGACGTGCAGTTGAAGCCCTATGTTCCACTAGGAACCCAAGGGAGCAATAAGCAGTTTGGTATTAGATGGTTGGAGGCAATCGGCCATAAGAAGCTTTGGACACGACCTAGGTTTCATCCTAGTTGGTAGTCATCAGCAAGGCACGCGTATCTGCAAACTTGAAGGAATAAATTTCCCTTCTGCTGATGATTGCCGACTAGCACGACACCTAGGTCGTGTCCAAGGCTTCCTGCCGATTGCTTACAACCATCTAATAACAACATCTCACAGTGCACCTAAATGGCGAGCCACCTAGCATGGTGGCGAGATTCCAAGCTTGACTGATAGAATTCAGTCTGCACCGAAGGTAGGACTAGACATACTACACTAGTTACTGACTAGTATTTAGACAAAAATAAGTTATATATGTATTGTCACATATTAATGCAGATTCTTTCATTTTCGGTTGTGTTTTTATTTGATAGTATTGGAATATGCATACATTAATAGGGGGGGGGTGGTGGTGTTAACTATCTATACAGAAGAACATATTCATTGGTTATCTGTATTCTCAAGTTAGCTTTTAAGGATTCATTTTAATTTTACGAGTTTGACCACGGAGGATTGATATCAGTTAGAGAACCATTGAAAACCAGCTGGGAGTACTGGACAGCTGTTTCGTCCTAGTTTGGGACTCTCCAGAAGTACGCACCTTCTGCTAGAGTTCGAACCCTGGACCTTCTGGTTACAAGGCGAGCTCGTAGACCATTGAGCCACTGGGACCCATTCAATCCTTTCAATGAAACATAATCCCTACAAAACCAATACCTATTCAGGTAGGCAGTTACCTGAGGTTCTAGTGAGTAATCGTGACAAGTAGGGTGCAGCAGGTCGGGTGCGAGGACAAATACTCGCCGGAAAAATTGGCTAGTGGTCGCGCTATGTCGTGAATTGGCAGAAGTTAGAATTCATGGGACAATGGATCGGGTTCCACTGGCTTAATTGTCTATGAGCTAGCTCGCCTTGTAACTGGAGGGTCCTGAGTTCGAAACCTGGCGGTGAGTGCGTACTGCTGAAGAGTCTTAAACTGGGACGAAACAGTTGTCCAGTACTCCCAGCTGGTTTTCCAGTGGTTCTCTAATTGATGTCAGCTCATGGTGAAATCCCCCATTCGGTTATTGAAAATTAATCTGACGCTGACTAGTGCCTTGCTATAGGACGAAGTTGACTTGAGTTCTAGTGAGAAGTCGTCAACAATTGGGGTCTATCCAGTCACCAGTGAGGATGGAGTTTCCGCCGATGACATTGGTTGATGTTCATGATAAAATAACGAATTGGCATGAAGTTAGAATTCATTGGCTAACCATTGAATGGCATACGAGCATGCCTTTTAACCGGGTTGAAATCTCACTGATTGCGTATTGCCGATGATTCCCAAACTAAGATGAAATGCCCAAATTTCGATCATAACATACAGCTTGATCTTAAAAAAAAAATTATTGATCACTTCAGCTGTTGATATTAGAAAATTACATAATCAATAGAGGAGCAATAAAAAATTACCATAATAGGTTTCACCACCATAAGTATCATTTTTGTCGAGTTTGCCTGATTTCTGGAAATCTGATCCATTTTGCACACCACAACATTGGAGCTGTGAAGGGGAAAGAGATAAACGTTTATAATCACTGGGATGTTTTATGTAATCCATAATCATACATTCTACAAATAGACATAGACGCATGGACACACAGATATCTTCTTCAGTGGTATTACTATTACTCCAGTATTCTGCCTATTATTCTCTATTGTTCCCTCTTAATTTTTCCTGGGCTACTGAAGTAGGACTATATCTTATTATGCAGGATGTTAAAGGTTGTCAGCAGGGTATGCAATGTGCCACTTAGCCAGCTTGTTAATATTCTGGTTGACAGGCACATGGACTCATGTGAAAAATGGGCTAAATCCATTCTATCTAACTCACAACACCCTCTTCATTCACAACTCTCTCCTTGTACCTCATCAGGCTAAACCAGAAGCCTGTATAGAAAACTATATGCTCGCACTAGCCAGTACAAAAACTCAACCATAACCTACTTAGCTGGGGTTTTTGTGCGATAAAGAAAACATTAGGCGGGAAACCTTTAACTTATTAAATAGTCAGTAGAACAACTGGATCTCGTCTTTCCAATTCATATCATTTATAGGTACAACGTTTTCTTTCTCTCTTTTCCTTTACTCTCTCTCTTTTTTCTGTAATGTGGTGCTTTGTTTCTTTCTTCCTTACCAGCTCCATTGAAACATTCTTCTTCGTTCTTTCACACTTTGTATATCTCGACCTTTTTGTTACAGCTTACACCAGTAAATATGCTAGGACCTACTTTTCTAGCACCTTCAAACACTTTGCTCAATTTTGGCTTTGCTACCGACATGCCAATATGTTGTTGTCAAAACTAACTGAGATTACGCTTAATCTATGTAGAATTTTATTTTATTGTTGATTTTCTAACTGGATGAGCAATACTGTAGTAAAATGTTGAAAATTCCATTCTGTATCGGAAGTACTGTTTTGGAATAAAGCTATTATCATTATCAAACGGTGGTCTGCTTAAATCATTGGATTAACAGAGTCACCATTCACTAAACTGACGGTACTCTCTTTAGCTATTTCGCATTGTTTTAATCATGTAATTATATCAAATGATCAATGCATGGATTCGCGCGCATATTTACTTAGCTTTCAACAAAATGCTGCCTATTGCTTGGTAGAAATGAAGGAGAAAACAAGAGAAAAAAATGTACAGAATATGGTTCTGTCTTCAATATGTATGATATACTTTATACTTAAATCCTATACGAAGACGAAGTATTTTGGAATGCTGAAAATTTCTCTACTGTGTGTTCACATATTGTCTTAAATAAATCTTTATTATTATTTTGTGAGTAATATGTCTAAATTAAACTACATCGATGCCTGATTGGCGAGTAGTTTAAGGTTTCGCATGCCTGAGCAACATATTGTGAACTAACAGAAGTTGGAATTAATAGCCAGTCGATCCGGGTCACAGCGGCTTAATGGTCAATCAACGAGCTTGGCTTCTAGCAGGGTTTGAATTCGAGTTAGAAACACCAGTGGGTGCATACCGCTATGCGTGGACAGCTGTTCAGTACTCCCGAGTTACTTAACGGTTATCTCATTGATCGGAACTCTTTGATCTCAAGGGTTTCAGTAGGCGTGAGAATGAGATCAGAATTTTCCAGTGACTGGCATGTAACGTGTGATGTTTGACAAAATACAGACGAATGAACTAAATAATTTGGAAATTCATAATGTGATATTTGGACGTTTAGTTTTGTAATTTAATCCAGAGGATGTTGGGCAGCCAGTTACACTGGGTAGACAACTAGTCAATTACATCACCCTGCATGGTTAAAATCAAGGCACAACACTAGGTCTATTCGTAGTTCTCTTTTGATTTGACATTGTGGATGCTGAATATATAAATTTGATTTTAACAAGGTAATTCAAAATTTCAGGATTTCATCATGAGCTGACATTAGTTAGAGAACCATTGGAAAACCTGGGAGTACTGGACAGCTGTTTCGTCCTAGTTTGGGACTCTTCAGCAGCACCAAACAAATCCCTACAAACCAACACTTGAATAATTCAAAATTATCCAGCATATTTTGAGAGATCTTAATTTTTCCCAAAGTGTTTGTCTATTACATATTTAGCTGAGGCTGTTGGAATCCACCTGAAGAAGGCTGCCTAACATATGAAAGTTAAAAGAAAAGAGGATCGTTTAGGCTCTTTCCCTAACGGGTTTTCTACAAAGTATTCTTTTATTTTTATGCCTATTATCACTTGCACAAACCCTTTTTTATGAACTATAATTCTATTGATTCTCTTACTTCGAAATGCTTATTCATTATCTAAAGAAATCATTTAAACTATCCAATATGGAAACTTCGTATGAAAATACCTACATCTGTTCTGTGTGAAAGTCAGTAAGGTGAAATGAACACTATGGGAATTTTCACAATATTGTTAGGAAATAGATATAATATGAGTCAGCGTCTCCCATGTTGTGTGATCCATACATCAGACATTTGACTCTAACGTAGGATAAAGTTCATTTGAAATAGATAATATAATTAGCTATCATTTCTGGTGCTGAATGCCTCCTTCTTCTTTTGTCTTCACTGTCAGTCAGTCAGTCAGTCAGTCAGTCAGTCAGTCAGTCAGTCAGTCAGTCAGTCAGTCAGTCAGTCAGTCAGTCAGTCAGTCAGTCAGTCAGTCAGTCAGTCAGTCAGTCAGTCAGTCAGTCAGTCAGTCAGTCAGTCAGTCAGTCAGTCAGTCAGTCAGTCAGTCAGTCAGTCAGTCAGTCAGTCAGTCAGTCAGTCAGTCAGTCAGTCAGTCAGTCAGTCAGTTAGTCAGTCAGTCCTCTGTTTCTTGTCCATGTGTGAATAGTAGTCAAGTAAACATTTTTATGTTGTAGTGAGTTGAAGTATCAATAGAACGAATCCAAAATCCAGTATTATGTCAGTGACAACAAACCGAGTGTCGGTGGCGCAGTGATAGGATGCCCACCAACCACTCAGTGGGTCCGGATTTCGATCCCCGGTGGACGCACTCTTCCTCGATAAGCTAGTAATAAGTATGGCAAAGAAGGAAAATTGGACATGAGGCTAGCAACCACATTCCGTAAAAATATGAACACCGCTGTTACCAAAACTTCAAAGCACTAGCTTGAAACCCCCTATGTTCCACTGGGAACTTAAATGAATAAGATACAAAGATAAGAACTCAACAAACTGATATATATTAGTGTTCTGCGTCATTTTTATACTTTGAGATGGAGTCAAAAGTAAAGATTAAGTACTGATTTAAAACTACTACCTATCATATCAGCACCTGATGATAGCTTTCTCTCTCTCAGCTTAACTAGTATTCATGACAGTTAGGTCCAGTAATCCACTGTCTATTGACCTCACTTGGTCGGCTGAATCAAGGGAATTCCTGCATTATTTAAATTACGATCCACTCTAGTATAACGACAGTACAAGAGGAATGTTGAAATCCTGACTACTCTATTTTACTGACTACTGAACCTGTTGTATCCGGATTAACGCCTATCAAATAAGTTTGTTCACAGGCGTAAATAACCAATGGATGGCAAATGAATTAATCAATCATTGACCCTAGTGAAGAACTATTCAGACTGTGTGACTAATTTTTCACTTGAATATAAAAAAACAATCAAGAAATCACTACTTACCTGAGGTGAAATTAGACCGACTATCAGGCTGTCAACTGTATTTGCTTTCATTGACTTGTAATTGTCTACACTCTGTTTGAATAATTCAACTACTTGTAGTCCAAGCTAAAATAATTAAAATAGAAAAGTACAAACGGGTAGATAAATTAATTGTTATTTCTTTGCCTACTAATTATTTGTAAGTAGGTAAGTCGAGTATATATATTTTTATGTATATAGGGTGCTGTAAGTCTAACAATAAGATTTTCTCTAATATTTTGAATGTATTTTGAGGTATCTGCTCACAGTTTATAGGAAAGTAGCCAGTAGTTATTGATGAATAGTGTTAAGATAAATCCATCCAAAAGTCAAGGTGTTAATTTCACTTTCGAACTCAAGCGAGACTACTTACATCAGTTGATTATTTAGCATGGTTCTACTATCAAAGATAGTTATGAAGTTGACATTAAGTCATTGTGTTTCATCTAATTTCGCGTGATTTTCCCACATCATGTTGATTTCTAGGAAAGTATTTCTTCACGTGTCAGACACGTGCATCGGTGCCACAGACGTAAAATGCCTGCTTACCTCACATGTGGTTCGGGATTCAAATCCCAGCCACACACGCACTCCTTGATTTTATTGATTTATTTAAAATTTGGCGACGGGGAAAACTATGGATCCTTCTAAATTGGAATTATTGTTTGAACGACAAATGAAATTAATGGAAATGTTCGTCAACCAACAGACTGGTCCAGCTTCACCTTCAAGCAATCCCAATCATACCATGCTACCATCTGTCGACGGCATTGTGAACAGTATTTCACAGTTCAATTATGACCCAGAGGCTAATGTCACTTTTGACACATGGTATCAACGATATGAGGATTTATTCACAGTTGATCTCGCCTCACAAGACGATGCTTGGAAGGTGCGAGTGTTATTACGTAAATTGGGTCCCTCAGAATATGAACGGTACTGCAACCTAATTTTACCCCAAAAACCACGTGACAAGTGTTTCGATGATACAATAAAGCTGCTGCGTGAACATTTTGGAGACCACTCCTCATTATTCAGCATACGTTATCGTTTCCTCAAGCTGACAATGAATGAAAATGATGATTTTCTTACTCACGTTGGCACAGTCAACCGAGAATGTGAGAGATTTCGACTCAGGTCCTTAACAGATGATCAATTCAAAGCCTTGATTCTCATATGCAGTCTTCAATCTCCTCGTTTCACAGATATCCGAACTCGACTGCTCAATCAGCTAGAACAAAATCCTAAGTTAACATTACATGACATAGCTGATGAATATCAACGGCTGATTAATCTGCAGAAAGACACACACCTGGTCGAATCAACACCTTCGAGAAGCTCTGATATTCATGCATTACGAAAGAGCAAAAATCTCTCATCATCCAGTCCTGACCCACCTACTTCTTCCAATGTTCCGCGGAAATCTACACATACTCGTCCAACTTCACAAAATACTGCAAAGAAGACCCCACCATCACCATGCTGGCATTGTGGCGCGTGGCACTTTGTAAAGTCTTGCCCATACAAAAATCATCGTTGCAGCAAGTGCAAAATCATCGGTCATAAAAATGGTTTTTGTCAGCCACGCAAACTCAGATATCATAATCCAGCAAAAGCTCAACAAACGGTTGGTCCTAAATCTCCAAGGAGATCATTGAGTCTACTCGCAACCTGTCAAGTCACAACACCAGCTATGCGGAAATATATTGACCTTCAGATGAATGGTCATGATGCACGTCTGCAGCTAGATACCGCCTCTGATATTACTGTTATATCAGAGAAACTTTGGAATGATATTGGCAGACCACCTATCACCAATACTTCCCAGTCTCTTGTCAGCGCCTGTGGTGGGCAGCTCAAACTTATTGGTGAACTCAAATGTTCTGTTTCCTTCCGCAATACCAAATTCACAGGAATTTGCTACGTCACCATAGTGATTTAAATCTTTTGGGACTTGATTGGTTCGATCGTTTGCATCTGGCTGATGTCCCACTAAATTCTCTATGCAATGCAGTCAAGAAGCATAAAATGTCAGACAATTCCGGACGAAGCCGAAGCCGCAAACCCAACACGCAGACGAAACGACAGACGTCAACAACAAGCTCAAAGGTTCCAGATAAACCCCCAGGTAAACATCCTACTAATCATCCATCTTCTCAAAAGGGGAGGTGATATGTATCCACATATATATATATTTATATGTGTGTGTGTGTATGTTGGTCTCTCTTTCTGTTGCTCGGTTAGTCTGTGACCATTTCACTTTGATGAACCTGTCTCCTTTAACAATATATATTCCCTTTATATTATATATAATATGTGTGTTTTGTTTGACAGTTTGATCTTGGTGATATATATATCCATATAATATGTGTGTTTGTTGACAGTCTGTATATTTGCTAGGTATATATGGATCGATATTCCATTATAATTAGCCAATCATGTTAAGATTGTCTATTGATTTGTTCATTTTGGATATTCGCTCACACACTTGTGTTCACACACTTGTTCGGACATTCATATATATTTTTGCTCTCACACTCTTGTGGGACATATTGATTCTCCTTGTGTTTGGAAAATAGAAGTATCATCGCAAACCTAGTGGTCTTCTGATTTCCGTCTTTCTTGCGTCAGGACTATTAACTTCTCGACCAGTACATAACAATTTATTTTGATTCTAGCTTGATTCCAGACCGTATTTTTGGTACAAGTATGGAATTTTCAGCATGTGATATCGGTAGCCCAAATATTGCACGCCGACCATAGATATCGGTTGTGCGTCAGCAGGGCATCGAACCTCGGACCATGTGCATGATTGGCGAGAGTCATAACCACTGTGCCACATGATTAAACAAGCAAAAGGAATGGTAAAGAGGCAAGTTTGAACTTGAGGCTAGCAATCCCATCCAGTAAAAATAAACACCACTATTACTAAGACTTCAAGCCTCTAGCTTGAAACCCCTTATGCTCCTCTAGGAAAGTACAGGAAATTCCTTCACGTACATTTTGCAATCCTTTACATTTCAAGTGAGATATAGGCCTTCAAGTTAGAGATCTGAAATGTCAACAGTGCGCTAGTATTGTGCCTCACAGTCAATCTTCCATCTTTACTGAGGTTACTACCAGCTAAACGAGATTCATGAGTGCATTGGTCTAGAAGTGAAATCCGATCACTCTCAGGGTGATTGAATGGTCCCCTATGAACTACTGGCATCCCACACTAAGGACAATAATTCATTAATTTGATATTTCTCTTGTGTAGTTATTATTATTATTGTTTCCTTGGGTTCCTAGTGGAATATAGGGCTTCAGCTGCACGTCTCCACTTACTTCTGTCTTCCTTCTTCTGTACTTTTCACCTGAATCCATGTTAGTCCATACTCTTTCAACTCCTCTTCACATGATCTCCTCCATGTCACCCTTGCAACGACGTCCCACTCGCCGCTTCCCATTCAAGTTCCACTCGAGCAATAGCCTGACACGCGCGATTTCACCCAGCGGCGGCCTCCTCAGCGAGTGTCCGATCCATCTCCACTTTCTCCTGCATATTTTTTGGGCAATCGGCTCTCGTCTGTTGGTTTGTTCTCATAGTTTCTTGTTGGTGATTCTTTCTGGCCCAGCCATCTGATCTTCAGTATACAGCGATAGTTGACAGTTGTTACTTGATAAAGGTCTGCAACAGGCTGTTGGAAATATTCTTTGTGACCCGCCAAACGCCAAGTTTCTGATCCGTATAGAACAGCTGACTAACTTGACGTTTGTACTGAAAATCCGACTAGATTTTGTTGTTGATGCTGGTTGAGTGACGAAGATTTCCAGATTGGTTTCAGTTAGTTGATGAATGTGTTTCTCGCCTTCCCGATTCTCGCTCGATTTGACATCCTCGTCCGTTCTGACTGCCTGTAGTTGAGACAATGCTTCCTAGATAAGTGAATGAAGTAACTAACCTCTTTCAAATTACTCCCGTTGATGCTGATTGGTGCTGGATGTTGCTGCTGTTGTTCATAAGCTCCGTCTTGTCTAAGTTCACCTACAGTCCTGTCTTCGGTGGCTGCTTCTTCGATCAGTTTGTTGGTTTTCGCTTGTAAGTCTTCGATTTTGTGTGACATCAGACATAAATCATCCCCGAAATCCAGGTCTTCTAGATTCTTCACGTCGGTCGGTCCAGGATATCCCTGTCTTCTCGTTTCTCACTCACTTTCTAAAGCATAATCCAGTCCACCACAATTAGGGATATCATTGGTGATAATAAGCACACTGTGTTTACTCCAAACGCCTCGCTGAGTTTTCCGCTGTGGATCACTTGACATGTGCCGTTGTCGTACAGCTGTTGAAGCTATGTTAGATGGTTCAATAGAATTCTCTAATTCAGAAAACAGTCAGTCAACTTTTGATTCTCAAAATAGATATATGAATTTTCAGTTCAGTACCGAAAAAATTATGATTCTTAGTCTGAGCATATTCATCGCTAATGAGATCTTGAAGCAATCTTGCACCTTGAATCAGGACTTTTGGGTTTTTATTTTACTCAGACAAGGTTCCCCAGCTGTCGAATTAGATTCCAGTAGTTAAGATGATCTGTGATGATTTCACCGGTAAAAGTTAGATTTTGGTTGATGGCTCATTGAGTCAGGACCCAGTGGCTGAATGCTCCACTACCCTGCTTTGTAATCTGAAGGTACATACCTCTCCGGATGCCTACTAGGCTGGCGGAGCAGCTATCCAACACTGCCTGGTGGTAGTTTTCAACGCTTTTCTAACTAATGTGATTCCATGGTCAGGCTTGAAATTCCACTAGTGATAACACGCCTTCTGATTATGAAATCACTGTTCACGATCTGGTTTTTTACAGCGCCTACATTTCGTATTGATCAGGTCAACTAGCCAATCATATTACTGGTTATTATTATTACTATTATTATTAATAATACTATAAGTAACTTACTTGATCCTTGCGAGCGAAGTAAACACTGAATGTGATCATTACCGCTGCGGCGAGAACTCCCACAAGAAGAGCATACTTCACGCAAAAAAATAGAGAGAAGAAAAATCGCAAAATTAATGAGTCACAAATTTTATCTGTAAACTTTAGCTACTATATATCTGTTCTACGGTATTTCAATTTGGAAACTCCATTACTAATATTAATATTATTATTATTTCCTTTAATTACTAGAGAAGCAGAAGACTTCTGTCACACGTCTCAATTGCTTTCAGTTCTCCGCCGACGTTTTGACCTGTCTCCACGTCTGCCCATATGCTTTCACCTCCTCTTCACATCAAATCCTCATCCATGTCACTTTTACACTGACGACCAACTCACCGCTTCCAGTCCACAGACAGAGAGAGAGCCTGACGTGTGATGTCACTCGCTTGATGATTTCTTTCTCAGAGTATGGCCAATCCACCTACCTCCATTTCTTCCTGCATATTTATTGTGCACAACTGGTTCCTACTGGGTTGGTTGGTTCGTTCATTACCAGAGATTTCCCTCTGTTGCTGGTCGTTTCTGGCCAGGCATCTAATGATGAGTAGTATAGACTGAAGACAGGTGTTGATGAAAGTCTGTAGTTTGCTTTCCCGATCCTCGACGCTTTGATATCCTCATCAGTTCCGTTCGCCTACAGTTGAAATTATGCTTTCCAGGTCGGTTGGTAGGTAAACGAGGTTGTTTCTTTCAGATTCTTCCCATTGATGGTGATTGTTGACTGTTGTCGTGGTTGCTGTAGCTGTTGGCCAGGAATCTTTATCACCCCTGTTTTCCCTATGTTCTCTGGATGCTTCTTCTGCAAACTTGTTGCTTTTCACTTGCATATCTTCCAGTTTGTGGAGAATCAGATATATGTAACCGGTGAAATCCAGATTCTCAAAGTGCTTCTTGTTGGTTCATTTTATGCCTGTTTCCTTGTCGCCCGCCACTGCCTGTCGCATTATCCAGTCTACAGCAGCCAAGAAATTCATTGAAGATAGTAGGCTTCACGGTCTTCACTTCGAAGGATTCCGTGAGTTTTGCGTTGTGGATTATTTGGCATGCAGCTTCGTCGGACGACTGTTGAATGAGGTGTATAATTTTTTGCGGACCCTGAAGTATATATAAATACATACACACATATTTATATAAATATTAAACAAAATTGACAGCTTTTACTTACGAGATAAAGCAATGTCTTCATATTGCAACAAGCACCACAATAACCAAACACCGATATACCCGTACATACAGCTCCCAATATGAAAAGAGCCAATCCAACAGGAGCTAGAAGGGAACAGAAAATAAATTTGCATTTAACCAAACGAAAATCAGTTAAACAACCGTATTAAGAAATTGAGAAGTATGGGATGTAACCTCTGTTTCATCACTATTTTGTAGCGCCTATTAATCAGTTTTTTACCGAGTTCAGGAGAAACAAGTCATGCATCAATCAGACTGTAACACTATATACTGTCATTGAACAGAATTTGGAATGGCAGTCAGCCCTCTATCTCAGATTCATCGACTTCGAAAGTGCCATCGACAACGTTGATTGAGAGGTGGTGGTTTGCAAAGTATTTCGCTACTACTACTAGGTGCCACCTACAATTAGACACCTCATTCAACAGTTGTCCGACAATGCTGCATGCTAAATAATCCACGACGCAAAAATCACGGAATCGTTCAAAGTGAAGACGAGAGTAAGACAAGGAAGGCTAGTTGCCTACTATTTTCAATGATTTTCCTGGCTGCTGTAGACTGGATAGTGCGACAGACAGTGGAGGGCAACAAGGAGACAGGCATAGGATAGACCCAGCTGAAAACTCGGAGGATCTGGATTCCACCGATGATATGCATCTGACTTCCCACAAACTGTGAGATATGCAAGTGAAAAGCAACAAGTCGACAGAAGAAGCATCCAGAGAAGATAGGACTTCAAGTGAACATTGAGAAAACAGAGGTAATAGAGATAACTGGCCAACAGCGACCACAACAGCAGACAACAATCAGCATAAATGGGAGGAATCTGAGAGAAGTAACCTCCTTCACCTACCAACCGACCTGGAAAGCATAATTTCAACTGTAGGCGAACGGAACTGATGAGGATATCAAAGCTTCGAGGATAGGGAAACGAGGCAAGTTTTCATTACTCTCAAGTCTGTATGGAGATCAACAGCACTAATCAACATGAAAATGAAAATAAGATCCGGATGTTCAACTCCAATGTGAAGTCAATGCTACTTACTATACGGATCAGAGACTTGGCGCTGCACCACACTGAGTCACGATGTCCACTTCGAACGAACTGCACACCTTCATCAACAGCTGTCTTAAGATTTTACACATATCCACTTATTGCTACTTAATAGACTGAAATCAGTAGTATAATACATGAAATAATAAGTAGTTTAATTAACAATTCTCATAATGTCCCTCCCACATATAGCTGGTTATAGCCTTTCATAATATACATATATAAATTATATTGGTGTACCCACATATGCCAATGTATACAAAACATTCTCTGTTACAATACATGTGGAATTAAGCATAAATATCAAAAGTAAAATATTTCTGTTTTATTGATTTTTGCATATTTTTAAACTGTTTTCAATAGAAGGAAATGACCGACAAGACTACATTTTACGCTTTTTTATATATGCGTGCCACAAAAGAATATTTGTAGCCATTTAAAAAAAAACTTTTGAACACCTCAAGAAACAAGCAAATAATTACGAAAATACATAATTTAGAGAACAATTGGAAAATCTGGAAGTACTAGAAAGCCGTTTCGTCCAATTTTTTGGCTCTTCATCAGTACGCATTCACCAGGGTTTGAACCAAGGAGCTCCTGGTTACGAGGTGACCTTATAGACCACCCATACACTAGGACCCACCGGCTATTCCACGAATTTCAACTACTATCAGTACGAGCTTTCCTCGTGGCCGGGGTCTTCTTGTTACAAACCTCAGGGAGTGCGCACTGATGAAGAGTCCCAAATTAGGACGAAGCAGTTATACAGTAGTCCATCCTGGTTTACTGTTGGTTCTCTAACTAGTGTTAGCTCGTTATCAACCTCGTAACGAATCAAATCCCTGCAAAGGAGTAATTGAAAACACATAACTGCATAACTGCACAGTATATGTAGTGTTAATTGGCAACAGAGGTTAGGGGTTATTGTCATGAATTACAGTCACCATCTGTTGATTTCCAGGCCGATGAAAGGTGGAATTATTTACATAGCCGCCACCACCACCACTACAAAACGTATGGTCTGCTTGATACCACTCACATCACCCAGTGTTTCATGAGAGCTAGAAGCGAAGTTGTCTAAACTCAGGACAGTCAGCTACACCGCTGATGAGTTCCACCCGGAAATGAGTGAAACAGTCGTTCAATGTTTTAGATCATTTCAATCATGCCAGGAAACATTACTGCCTAACATAAATGACATCCAACTACTCATATCAGTTAATCAGTAGTACATTACATTACGCAAGAAAATTCAACTCGTCTTGTGTGCTTTCTTAGGCAATACCATTCAAGACAATCAAGTGTACATATTTCAGTTCCATAAGAAGTAAATTTTAGTTTTAGAGGCGGATGCAAGCAAACAAGCATTAACAGTCTTAACTAATGTTAGGTAAGTCTACATCGGCCTGTTGTATTCATTAAGTCTGTTTGTACTATAGAGCGAGGAGAATATGCTCTGCAAAGAAACTAGAAGAAGAATTTACGATTCTCAAAAAGGTGCTGAAAAACACCGGTTATCCCCAAAGTTTCATTAAGACTTATGGAAAATATGAAGGCTCGAATACCAAACAGATCACAGTTGAAAAAAAGCCTGTCTCCATTCAACTAGATTTGATAGGTGAAAATATTGCACAAATGGTCAACAGAAGACTGAGAAAGTCACTAGCCAGAGCCTATCCTGCAGCTAGCTAATTGGGTTCCCGTTCATCGAACAACATGTTCTTTGCTGCAGTCAAAAGTCGATAGATACCCTTCACATGTTAACTCCAACTGTGTATACAAATTTACGTGTATCTGTGGGAGCAGTTACATTAGGAGAACAGAAAGAAGGCCACGTAGACCTCCGATTTTCTGAACATGTGCCGAAAAGCCTACGTCTCAAGGGAACAAACTCTTATAGTAGCGCTATTACCAGACATCTCCTCGACACGGGTCATGAGTTAGGTGGAAATCCTTCAAAATTATCAATAGACAAAGGAGCTCCATTCTCCTCAAGTTTGCCGAAGCAATTTCTATCAAACGCTTGAAACCAGATTTATGTGTTCAGAAAGAAGCAGTTATTAGTTTTTCCTTGCCCATCCTGGTAACTGGATGTCTTTATTCTCTCATCTGATTACGTAATCTTTGTCTTTAACCTCACCCCCCCCCCACTTTTATAATCTGTTATTGTGCTTGTCTCTTGTTTCTATGACGTGAGTTGAACTCAGTACATTGTTACCTAACGTGTTAGTCATTCTGCATCTAACGCACATCTCATCTTTATTACGTAACTCCTTTACCATTATATGCATACATTTATTTTGTTTAAACTTGAACTGCCTGTGTAAAAACTATATAAGCGCAATTTTCCGACCCCTGTAGACTAATTATGGAACTTTTTGTCAACTGGAAACATGTAAAATTTGCAGGTATGTTAACACTTTTCTGAACGTAAACCTCATAATTTATTTAGGCTGTAAACAGCAGGTGATGAGAAGCCAACGAAATAATTGATGGTACCGTATTATTCTGCATAAACCACTGTTGTTCTTGCTTTATTCAAAGTCATTTTGTCACCTGACATACTAAGTAAGTTGCACAAAGCTTTGGATACTCAAAACTAGACGGGGGTGAGGGCAAAATCTTGGCGAACATATGAAAGAATGGTTTATCATTCTTCAATGAAACGTGTTAATTACCATAATCACTAGGTATTTTAATGCCTCCCGGGAGTAAAGTAGACTAATGACTGAATCCAATCAATTTCTGCCGCGAGGATATCCACTGGCGAGATGATTATTGCTTTCTGAAACTGATTTCATTGGACATAGCGCGCGCGCACACACACATACACACACACGGAATGATGAAGAGAGTATTAGTAGTAACTGGCTGATGATGATGTTTTGAGCACAGTTTATTACTGCTCAATAGTTAATATCACATGAGTGTATTCACATGACTTGCTAAATTGCTTTATATAGCCTTACTTACTCCCACCTGTTTGCTTTATTGCACAGCGCTATATATAGCAATACATTGATTGTACGTATTCGGTATTGACTTGATGAGCAAAGATTCGCTGATTAATCTTTCTCTTCGCCTAATTATATTACTTTTAGCTACCTTTACTCTATTCCGCTGTATTGTGTGATTACAAAACAGGTGTAGGCATTAGCAATAATCGGTCTCCCTTTAAAATTATGCGTCGATGGCACAGTGGTTAGGACTTTCGCCGACCATGCACATGGTCCGGGGTTCGATTCCCTGCCGACACACACCTGATATCTATGGTAGGCCTGCGAAATTTGGGCTATCCATATCACATGCTGTAAATTCCATGCCTGTACCGAAAACTACTGTATGGAATCAAGGTGAAATCAAAATAAAATAAAAAACTTGATTCGCTCAGTCACTCTAGATCTGACTAAATCCTCATGTTCAGATAATCTGATCAACTTCGATCGATTGATCTCATATTGATCTCAGGGTATTCGGCAGATTACATCATTCCTCCTAATTGGATCTATCATCACATCCTTAAGCCGACAAAGTTTATCTCTAAGTGAGTCGGTTCGTTTAAATGTTACTCTCACGTCATCCTTATTAAGATTCCTGTGTCTTTATACATTTTTGAATGAATTTTATTAAGCGAATAATATAGAAGGGAGTACAACACTTTATCAAGTATTTTAAGAGGCATCTATGCTTTGTGTTTGTTGGCACTCTTCTCATGATTCACCTTCTGTAGGACTGTAATGAATACTTTGATTGATTCCTGGGGTGGGCATGGGGGAACCAGTGTTATGTGTAGGTGCAAACTGTATTCTCTCAGTCAAGTTTTCCATGTGATCATCACCATAAGAGACACGAATTCCTTTAGGGTGGCAGTTGCATCTAGATGCCGGGGGCAAATACCTACGAAATTTGGTAGCACGGATTTATCATCATAATATGCAGTCGCCTTGATACACTAACTAGCAATCAGGAGAGCAAACATAAATGCATGATAATCAAAACAAGTGATTCAGTGAAGAGACTCTTTTCAACA